TCGAGATCAACGACGAGCAGCTCTGGGACGACACGCTCATGATGACCGTCATGCCCTGGCCAAGATTGGTCTCGTCCTCAACCGACCCGAGTACGTGGCCGAGGCAAGAGGCAGTTCCTGCTGCACACGCAGTACCTCTTCGACGCCCCCTCGGGCCTCTTCTTCCACGGCTGGACCTTTGCCGACGGCGGCCACAACTTTGCGCGGGCCCGCTGGGCGCGCGGCAACGCGTGGCTGACCATTGTCATCCCCGAGTTTGTCGAGCTCCTCGACCTGCCCAAGGACGACCCGCTGCGCTACCACCTCCTCAACACGCTCGAGGCGCAGGCCGCAGCGCTCGTGCCGCTGCAGGAGGCTGACGGCCTCTGGCGCACGCTGCTCGACGTCTCCCAGGACGAGGGCTCCTACGTCGAGGCCAGCGCCACGGCCGGCTTCGCCTACGGCATCCTCAAGGCCCAGCGCAAGAGGTACATCGGCAAGGAGTACGAGGCGACGGCCATCAAGGCCGTCAACGCTGTCATTGACAACATCAGCCCCGAGGGCGAGCTGCTCAACACGTCGTTCGGCACCGGCATGGGCCACGACCTGCAGCACTACAAGGACATTCCGAGGACGAGCATGCCGTACGGCCAGGCCATGGCCATGATGGCGCTGGTCGAGTTCCTGCGCGTGTACTACTGAGGCAAGGGGCCGGGTCAATAGCATTGGTGTAGCGGGTTGATTTTTGTTCCAAATAAAAAAAAGGGAAGAATAAATACATTGAAACCAAATGGCTCTCATTCGTTGGCTGGGCGTATTTGAAACCAGAGAAAAAGAAGATGACTTGTGTGTCTCAGTCTCGCTCAGTTGGTGAGCTGTGTGTGTATGTCACGGGTCCATGGAATCGTCGTCTGGTGATCAAGCCAGCAAGGCGCACATGTGTCGGCGGTTCGACGGATGGCGGTGAGCGAAATACTAATGACAACGGCCGTGAAATGGTGATTCTGCCCTGGTTTTGACGCTGCCTGGGATATGCCATGGACAGCACCTGTGGGACTTGTGATGATCAAGAGCAAGAACGGTAGAGTCAGCAAGGCCCCGCGAGGCAAGGTCAGCACCTGGCAGAAGGCAGGAATGCAAAGTGAGGCTGCACACACCAGCCATTGGCGGTACGCCGAGTCTCACTGGAGACAGTCCCGCAAGCCCCGGTCGTTCTTTCCCCACACCCTTATCTGCTGCTTATCGCTGCACATCATCGCCGCCGGAGCTTTCTGACCAGACACACTGCCAGTGCCACCCACCCGCGTCCGAACCCGCTCGCGAAT